GGAGCAGCATACGTGGAACCTCGAGGTGGGAATGTGCCTGGCATGCTTGAAGCCCAAAGAGACCCATGGTGGTGGAAGGAGAGTGAGATGGTGGGAAGTCGAGGCAACAAGAGCAGGCTGAGCCCAGTGCTTGGGAGCAGGGGCACTAAACTAGTTCCAGAGCCTGGAGACCATCCAACTCATGACAGAGACCTCGGGGGAAAGGAGATGCAAGGCCTCACAGGAGCGTTTATTAATAGCTCACTCCCTGCTACTCCATTCCAGGGCCTGAGTCTCCACCCCACCCCCAATCCCATACCTCTTGGGAGGAAAGGCAGCATATTCCTTCAATTCCTTCTCCCCCCACCTCAGCTTAGAACCACGGATGAGCTAGTAGAAACTAGTGGAAACCGAGCAGTGAGCTGGAGAGTTTGCAGGGCCCACACGTCCACCAGCGAGGACTCCATTGGTCCTCACACATGCTACGGGCTGCAGTGCGAGGTAGGCTCTTCCTTCTGGTCTTTTTGAGAGGGAAAAAAAAAACCCAGCAAATTGCTTTCAAAATCCCACTCTTCCACCTCCCTCCTTCACTCTGGTCTTACCACCAGAAGCAAAAATATAGCAGTCCCTCAATATTTGTAAGGGTTGGCTTCAAGAACCCTGTGGATATCAGATGTGTAGATGCTCATGCCCCTTAGAAAAAATTGTGTAATGTTTGCATATAGTCTATGGCCATCCTCTTGATCACTTATAATTACCATTGCAATATAAAAGTAGTGGTTATACTGTATTGCCTAGGGAATAATGACAAGAGCCTGTACATGTTCAGAACAGATGCAAAATTTTTCTCAAATACTTTTGATTCATAGTTGGTTGAACGCGTGGATGCTGAGCCCATTGACACAGAAAGCCAACTGCAACTGACAGTATCACTTCAGGACCTTTCAGTCCAAGGCCCACACCATCCCCCAAAATTCCAAAGTCTAGCCCTTCAGTGAGGTCTTTTCCCCCTCCTTTAAAAAGATTTATTTATTTTTATTGGAAAGGCAGATTCATAGAGAGGAGAGACAGAAAGATTTTCCATCCACTGGTTCACTCTCTAAATGGCCACAATGGCCAGAGCTGAGCTGATTCGAAGCCAGGAGCCAGGAGCCAGGAGCCAGGAGCCTTTTCCAAGTCTCCCACATAGGTGCACACATTGACTCTTCAGATATTTTGAATACAGGCTCTTTGAGAAGCTTTGGTATTGCAAATATCTATTCTGAGGTTTGTTTTTACATGTCATTGATAGCATCTTTTGTTGAACAGAGCAGTTGGTTTTTATTTTAAAGATTTATGTATTTTTTTTTATTGGAAAGGCAGATATACAGATAGGAGGAGAGACAGAGAGGAAGATCTTCTGTCCAATGATTCACTCCCCAAGGGCCACAAGGGCCGGAGCTGTGCCGATCTGAAGGCAGGAGCCAGGAGCTTCTTTCGGGAAGGAGGGAGGAAGGGAAGGCGGAATGGTGAGAGAGAGAGAGAGAGAGAGAGATCTTCTATCCACTTATTCACTTCCCAAATATCCTTAACAACCAGAACTGGGTTTGGTCTTAATTTTCCACATCGGTAGCAGTGACCCAGGCACTTGGGCCATCTTCCACTGTTTTCCAAGGTACAACAGCAGGGAGCTGGACCAGAACAGCTGGGACTTGAACCAGGGCTCATATTGGATGCCAGCATCACAGGTGGAGGCTTAACTCATGCTGCCACAATGCCAATCCCTTTACCATTTTATTTTAATGATCTTTACATAGTTGATTAGGGTCAAGGGCTACACAAAAGTGGGTAAGACCATTGTTTCCATATTCTCTTTTTTCTTCCTGTATCTGGGGGAAGGGAAGAGACAAAGGAAGAAGCCCCACCCAGCCTCCCAGCCATGACAGGGTCCCTGGTGTAGGGCATGCTCCATTCTCCGAGGGCACTACTCAACTGGTTTCGATAGTCCAACTGTTATGAATAGCTGCCAATCTCACCATTCCAAGCAAGATAAAATCTTTTTAGAATCCACTGGCTGATATAATCCACCTTTGTGTCTCCACTTGCCCAGATAGTCTTCTTTTTTTTCTTCCACATTATTATCATTATTATTATTTCTGTATCTGAGGTAAGGGGGTAGACAAAGGCAGAAGCCACTCCCAGCCATCCACCCATCCCAGCTCCCCAACATGGAGCATGCGCCAAGGGTTTTGCTAAAGTGGTTTTGATAGTTCAACAGTTCTGAATTGCTGCCAATCTCACCACTCAAAGCACAATGAGGGCCTGGCGCAATAGCATAGTGGTTAAAGTCCTCGCCTTGCACACACCAAGATCCCATATGGTTCTAATCTTGGCGGCCCCGCTTCCCATCCAGCTCCCTGCCTATGGCCTGGGAAAGCAGACGAGGATGGCCCAAAGCCTTGGGACCCTGCACCCTTGTGGGAGAGCTGGAAGAGCTCCTGGCTTCAGATTGGCTCAGCTCCAGGTATTGTGGCTGCTTGGGGAGTGAACCATCGGACAGAAGATCTTCCTTTCTGTCGCCCTCCTCTCTGTATATCTGCCTTTCCAATAAAAATAAATATAAATCTTTTTTTTTTTTTTTTTAAAAAGGCACAGGGCCCGGCAGTGTGGCCTAGTGGCTAAAGTCCTCGCCTTGAACGCACCGGGATCTCATATGGGTGCCGGTTCTAATCCCGGCAGCCCTACTTCCCATCCAGCTCCCTGCCTGTGGTCTGGGAAAGCAATCGAGGATGGCCCAACGCTTTGGGACCCTGCACCCACGTGGGAGACTCGGAGGAGGTTCCTGGGTCCTGGCTTCAGATCGGCACAGTACCAGCCATTGTGCTCACTTGGGGAATGAATCATCAGACGGAAGATCTTCCTTTCTGTCTCTCCTCCTCCCATATGACTTTGTAATAAAAATAAATAAATCTTAAAAAAAAAAAAAAAAAGCACAATAGCACAATAAAATCTCTCCAGAATCCACTGGCTGACATAGTACACGCTAGAGTCTCTGTTTGCCCAGATTTTCACTACCAACACATGGCTGGGATAGTTGATTGATTTGTTCTGTCCTCCGTCCTCTGTTGTGGTACCAGGTGTCCTCTGCAGGTTTAGATGGATTGCCATATCCTCCATGTGCACCTGGATATGCTGTCCACTGCTCTGTCTGAGCCTCTGAGGAGGCTCAGCTCTGACACATGCACTCCACGGTCAGACCATGGAACCTGCAATTCTCTTCATGATTGGGGTTCTGAGTCCAGCAGTTCAATGGTGGGGATTCCCCAAAGGAACTTTTTCTGAAGTGATCCCAGGCAAGATTCTTGCATGTGCTTGCCAGTACAGAGTCCAACACAGTCTGTTGCCCCAATCAGCTTATGCATATGATGGTGGTTGCAATTGCTGGGTCAGTTCTGTTTCCAGCTCTGTGTTCTACACGAACCAATGGGTATTGCAGTCCAGCCTGATTCTGCCCACCACACACTTGACCCTGTATCTGGGGTAAAAAGTGCAAACTGCAACCTAGTTGAGGCAAACCGCAATAACCCCACCAACCCCCCCCCCACTCTGGTTCCCATGCTTGCATGTACAGCAGACTGCTCCAGTCTGCCCCACACCCCATTCAGTTCTCATACATGTCAATGGGCATTGAAGCCTAGTTCAACCCAACTGGGTCCATGTACATGCTGGAGGGTGCCATTTTGTCTAGCCATGCCTGCCCCAGTTCTGATTTTCATGCTCACCCGTCAGAATAGCAACTCAAGAGGGATGTGCCCACTATATTTTTCCTCCTGGGCCAACTCCCAGATCTTGCACTTTCCAGGTGGTTCTGCAGTTTAATTTGACAGAGTTAGCCCCCCATGCTAGCATCTGCCAGCTGATGCTGTGGCAAAACCCAACCAACCCTCACCCACTCTGACTTCTGCCTGCACCATTAGGAACAGTCAACCCAGCCTGGCTTTTCCCTGGTTCAGCTCACATGAGGACAACAGGTGTTGTAGCCCTGCCTGGTCTGATCTGTCTTCATTCCAACTCACCCTCTCCAATGGGAGTGGTGTAGGCCCTCTATCATTTCTTAATCTATGTCTCATTAACATGTACCCAAAGTGGGAAGCAGCTTTCTTGTTTGCCTGACTAGATGGTAGCTTTGGGTTACTTTTTTTTTTAAGATTTATTTTTTTATTGGAACGTCATAATTGCAGAGAGAAGGAGAGACAGAAAGATCTTCTATCCACTGGTTCACTCCCCAAATGGCCACAGTGCCAAAGCTGAGATGATCCGAAGCCAGGAGCCAGGAGTTTCCACTGGTCCCCCATGTGGATGCAGGGTCCCAAGGCTTTGGACCATCCCCTACTGCTTCTCAGGCCACAAGCAGGGACCTGGAAGGATGTGGAAAAGCCAGGACTTTTGCCACTATGCTACCACACTGGTGCTTTCAGTTACTTACAGAGATGATCTATTTGTTCATATCTAAGCTATCCTCCTTCTCCCATAACAATTTTGCTTTTCCTCCTTTTAAGATGAAGTTGAAATTGTATGGTTCACTTATAGCTTTAGTGCTTGAGAGAAAGCAAATGAAAAACAAATTTTGAGTTTGAATAGATCTCTTCAACTCGAAAGATTCAAACTGGCCAATTCTAAGGACAGTAATAGAGTCACTTTGATTTGGGCTCGACGCAGTAGCCTAGTGCCCAAAGTTCTTGCCTCACATGCACTGGGATCCCATAAGGGCGCCATAGCATATGCTGGCTGATCCACTTCCCTTCCAGCTACCTGCACCTGCCTGAGACCTCAAAGAAGCTCCTGACTCCTGGCTTTGGATCAGTTCAGCTCCAGCCTGCTGCAGCTGCCTGGGGAGTGAACCAATGGATGAAAGATTTTTCTGTATCTCCTTCTCTCTGTAAATTTCCTCTCCAATTAAAATAAATAAAAATAAATAAAATATTTAAAAGTAAAAATAAAAAGATTTCATTTGTTAAGACATTGAATTGACACTTTTTTCCAAAAATCTTTAAACATTTTATTATTTTTTCCTTTTTTATTTAATAATTTTATTTTATTTTTGGCAATGTCTAACATTTTATTATTCTTGAAGTATAAAAACAGACACTTTATAACCTAGGGACATGCAGGCATTCATCTAGTCATAGTTTCTTACACACCTGGCCAAATATTAAACAAATCGACAAAGTGGATCAAATGGGCCCCTTTATAGACCTGAAAGAATGTTGGAGAATCACAGCATAAAGGAAACAATCCATGTAACTAAGAAGTTAACTTTCTCAAATACAAACGCTTGCCTACACTCTGGCCTCAGGGTAAAGGCCTCATTATTTGAACTGGTTGTCAATCAATGTCCCCTTCATTTTCGCCTTTTTGGCTTCCAATTCAGCCTAAAATGGGAAAAAAAATTGGTATATCTTGATATGTGGCATGAAACTCCTATTTTCTTTCCTTATTGTAATTACCCCAAAGCACACTTAGTATACAAACCAGAATAGTGGTACTAAATTCATCATGCATCTCTAACAGCTATAGACACACATGATAAATAACAAGACTGCAGGCCAAGCCACTGCATGGACCCAGAGCCCCAGAGTTCTTAAGAGCTGAGAAAATCAATATCATGGTATACCAGTATCCTATTCTTGGCAGGACAGGAAGCAAAACACCATTCTAGAATAGTGTTACTTGAAGTTGTGAGGTCCAGAAATCGCTTATTATGAGCCCATGAAAATGGTACAAAAACTGAAAATTAGCATTTAGAAACTTTTTACTTTTGAACGAGTCATAATAAAAGGATTGAATAATAAAAATTGGGGCCAACTCAGCATGTTTTACAAATTACAAAAATGTATATGGCAAACTGGAAATTATAAAAGAGAAAACCGTTGTTTTTCATTGTGGAAAGTTTGAGAAGCACTACTCTAGGCCACTACGGTAAGATAAAGTAGCTCCTAGGCATTTAACACTTCTTTCACACACAAAAAATGTGCTATAGTCATTAGAAAAGACCAGTATCCAGTTTCACAAAGCATCAATGCAGTGGTGTTTGATTTTCAGTAATGTATTATTTAAAACATAAACATTGGGTACCAAGACATATACATAGACATGCCAGAATAATACAGAAAATCACCGGTGCCTTAAAGTCATGACCAGCTCCCATCCTAAAACTGCCGAAGTAGTACTGCCATATGCCATTATATCCTGGGACAACCTGATCTTTTACTCTTGATCTAAGATAACAAGTAGATCAAAATATATCATCCCATTTAGGCCTACCTAACAATTATTATCATTTGGAGCCCATATCCTGGGGTGACAACAGCAGAACAAGGTATACCAACATCATAGCCCAGGGTTAAAAAGCCAGCAGCCAATACCACTAACAATCCCCGACAGATTTCTTAAAGATTTCCCTGTCCACTGGGAGGTCCCTCAGACTAACAACTCCAAACCGTCAAGCCCAGCAGCCTTGGTACCCCAGGTCACTCACCAGCTCTTGCAGCCGCCTCTTACTCATCCCTTTGCGTTCTAGCTGTTTTTCAATCACTTTGGCATTCTGTGCATACGAGTCAGCAACTTCCCTCTGAAAGAAGGAAGCATCTTCATACCAGCAGCGTCCCCAAGGAAAACCAACAAAGGGCCCCAAGTAGCAATTTACACTACTCAAACCATGATATCAAGGCGCACCGTTCCCTTTCAATCCTTCAGCTCTTCAGTAATCCAGGACAAGCTGGGTTGTAACCAAAAGCATTTTAAAAATAACAGATAACACCCCTCGGTAAACATTGTTATCCTGGAGCACTAGGAGAGTAAGTGCTGCCACTCTGAAAGACAGACATACAAAGCATGAGAACTGAGTTGGAAGGGACTTGAAATCATTGAGTCTGGCAGTTTTTAAATTGTAGAAAGTTGAGGGTTTTGCCTTCTAAGGTAACTCCAGAAACAATAGGAGAAAAAAAAAATTGCTTCTAATTTCCTCATTCTCATTGTATAGCTGTCCCTGGGATCCAGGGACACAAGCCTTGCTCCAATGTTACGTAGTTTCTCACTAGCAGAGCAGGGTCTAAAAGCGGTTTCTATTCTGCTACTGGGAGAGTCCAAGGCCAAGGCCTCCACCCTAATCTCAATTCCCTTGAGACTACATACAAGCACTTACCGCCTCAATCTCTTCTTCTTCTTCATCAATGGTAGACACAGTGACAGAGCTGAACTTGCCCATGTCTTTTGTTCGTTTGGTCATCATCACCTGGAGCAGCAGGGAGAAGAGTCAGCCTAGTTCACCACATGAGGACTCATGGCCACAAATGAGTGTGTGTGCAACTAGAGAGGCCTATGTGTGGGACATGTGTGCTGCAGGTGGCAGGGGTGGGAACATGTATCTCTCTTGGGGAAAGACCGGTCTATAGAACAGTACCAGTGCTTCTATCTACATTTTGTAACATTTGCCATCAAGGCTTTCTAAATATATTGAAGTGTAAGTATATATAAACAACAACACAACAGCTTTCAGCTCTTAACACTGAAAAAAAAAACAGAAATGAAGGAAATAAATGTGAATACAAACCATATCATTTAAAACTTTACAAGGCAACTGTAGGAAGAAAAAAGAATACATAGCATTTGTCGTGATTCTATAGCATCTACTTATACATGAAAATGACATTTTCTTAATTAAAAAATATATTTAGGGAAGGTGTTTGTCATAGTACATAGGATGCCACTGGGACACTCACATCCCATAGCAGAATACCTGGTTTCAAGTCCTGACTTTGCTTCTGACACCAACTTCCTGATAATGCACAACTACCTATGAGATAGAAGGTGATGGCCCAAGTAATTGAGTCCCTGCCACTCCCATGTGAGACCTAGATTGAGTTCCGGGCTCCTGGGTCAGCCTGATCCAGTCCTGATGATGCAGGCACCTGGGGAGCGAACCAGTAAATATTCCAGACAGAAGGTGAGACAGAGAGATCTTCCATCTGCTGGCGCACTCCCCAACTAGCTGCAATGGCCAGAGCTGGGTTGATCTGAAGCCAGGAGCCAGACTTGGATTATTCTCCACTGCTTTCCCAGGCCTAAAGCTGGAAGAGAACTGGAGTGACTGGGACTTGAAGTTGCACACATATGATATGTCAATGCTGCAGACGGAGGCTGAACCTACTGGGTCATGGTGCTGGTCCCAAATTTAATTAACACATTTTAAAAATAAAAACTTTGGAATAAATCTATAGCTACATTCAGCAGCTTGTCTCCTTCAATAATTACCTTCTTAGGAGGCTCTTGTTTCTGGGTGTATATATTTGTTTTCCCAAAACCCTGGCCAAACTTGACCACTGCTCCATCAACGATGAAAGTCACAGGAGCATTCTTTGGCTGGGACTGGTAGAAGAGTGGCAATCCACACCTGTAAACAGCATAATATCTCTGTGAGACCCCCAGAACCCAAATCCCCAAATGCCAATTCATAAAGTGTGCTCAGACTCTGGATATATTCTTCTTATTTAAAGATTTATTTATTTTGGGCCCGGCGCAATAGCATAGTGGTTAAAGTCCTCGCCTTGAATGCGCCAGGATTCCCATATGGGCACTGGTTCTAATCCCAGCAGCTCCACTTCCAATCCAGCTCCCTGCTTGTGGCCTAGGAAAGCAGTTGAAGACGGCCCAAAGCCTTGGGACCCTGCACCTGCAAGGGAGACCTGGAAAGGATTTCCTGGCTCCTAGCTTTGGATCGGCGCAGCACTGGCTGTTGCGGTCACTTGGGGGAGTGAATCATTGGACAGAAGATCTTCCTCTCTGTTTCTCCTCCTCTCTGTAGTCTGCCTTTCCAACAAAAATAAATAAATCTTTAAAAAAAAAAAAAAAAGAAGAAGAAGAAGAAGAAGCCAGGAGTCAGGAGCTTCTTCCAGGTTTCCCACATGGGTACAGGTTCCCTAGGCCTTGGGCTGTCCTCTACTGCTTTCCCAGGCCACAAGCAGGAATCTGGAAGGGAAGTGGGGCAGCTAGAACACAAACCACCGCCCTCATGGGATCCCAGTACATGCAAGGTGAGAACTTTCCCTCCTAGGGTACCACACTGGGCCCTGGATATATATATTCTCCATGATTTGTTTTTAAATTGTTATTTGAAAGGCATACAGGGAGAGGAAGAAAGACACAGAGGGAGATAATTGTCCATCTTCAGGTTTACTCCCCAAATGGCTGTAATTGCCAGGGCTGGGCTGGACTGAACCTAGGAGCTAGAATCTTCCTCTGGGTTTCTCACACGGGTGCAAGCAGCCCAAGTACTCTAACCAATTTCCATTGCTTTCCCAAGCACATTAGCAGGAAGCATGACTGATACTGGAGCAAGCAGAAATAAAACTAGCATCCATATGGGATACTGATATCACAGGCAGTGGCTTCACCTGCCATATTACAATGCTGGCCCCAACTCTGGATATATTTTTAACAGCATAAGCTAATGATTAGCTCTTCTCAATGTTTCCAAACGAACTTGGTAAGAATCACTCAGGGCATGTGTTATAATGGCAAATCAGGTCCCCAGCCTTATCCAGAAGACAGTGATTTAACTTATCTGGGCCTGACAATTTGTCATTTCAATCAATACTACAAGTGACTCTTCATTAGATAAGTTAAAAAAATTTGGACTCATGCTACTGTGCTTTCTGTCCAAACTGCTGTCATTCCTGTCAGGTGTCTGGGTAACTAGTCTGGGCATTTTTTAGGCTTTTGTCTTGTTTTTGTGGTCAAGAGGAAATGCAAAGGCTCTACTACAGTGCTTGGCAAACAGATCCCTAAAGTGATGGCACATTCTTTGGTTGACCATAATTATAATTTCAGTTATCCTATAAGATATGACAAAAGGAATGTAATCAATCCAGTGCAGGTAAATGCTAAAATGCACTTATCCACTTTCTCTCCTTTAATTCTTCTAGTCTGAGTCCTTTAATAGTCAAATTGTAACTGAAGCTATAAGATCAAACTTTCTATAATTTAATATTCTTACTATTAAGAGCATGAAGCTGGAAATACATATATATATACACATGTAGACATGCATTCATACATACATGTATATGTATGTATGTATTGAAATATAATACTGGTACTAAAGTTGAGACTATGATCTTATAACAGGCTTTATAAATAAAGCTGGGTTGAACTATACCGGTATTTACCATGACTCAGAAATTCCCTCAAAAAGGAAACACATGTTCCCACCAAGATTTATACCAGAATGTTCACAGTGGCTTTGTTGGTAATAATCAGAAACCAAAATCCAGAAACGACTCAAATGTCCTTAAATGGGTTCACAGGCAAACAAAGTATGATACAATGGAATATTACGTGGCAGTATAGAAGAGCAAATGATTAATACATCTAACAACTTGGATGAATCCCAAAATCATTTTACTAAGTGAAAGAAAACAGGTACAAAAGACACAATTTGCACATAATATGACATATGCTGTAGAATTTATACAGAACTTTAGCAAAGGTAACACCACAGGGGCAGAAAGCCTCCTGGAGAAGGGGACTGACCGCAAAGGGCACATGGGGTGCTGGAAACACCTTCGATCATGATGTCGGTGGCATAGTATGGCTATGCCCTTGTCAAAATTCATCAAATTGTACCCTTAAAATGGAAAAATATTATTATATATATATATCACACCTTAATTCTTAAACAATAGTGTGTTAAAAAGTTATTTTTGTGGCCATCTGATCAGCAATATACTTTCACCAGTGTCTTCATGGAAAATACTGTCATTTGCATACTTGAAGTTGGAAAAGTAATTAAGATTATAAGGATAAAAATCCAATAGGGAATTGTAACCAAGTCATTATTTTCCTAACATGTTATGATTTTACTTGCCTATTCTTAGAAGTCCAGTTAATACTTACTTCGCACACTTCTTCCTGTACTGCCGTTCAATGCCTTCAGCTCTACACAGAAAATATATATAAAAAAAGGTATGAACAAACTTCATAGTATATCAATCTCACCATCTCATTTTTTTTTTCAAGTGCTAAAGAGGATGGACTTTCAAAAATTTTCATTTCCAGGTGGATTTTGCACAGCAGTTAAGGCACCATTTGGGAAGCCCACATCCCATAGTGCCTCAGTTCAAGTAGCAGCTCTGCTTCCAATCGCATCTTCTTGCTAATGCACAGGTTAATTGTGACAGCTGTTATAGTTGGGTATCTGCCAGCAATGTGGGAACCCCAGATTAAGAACTGAGCTCCTGATTGAACTGAAGCTAGGTCACAATGTTGGTGAACTAGTGGATGAAAGGTTGATCAGTTTGTGTGTGCACGCGCGTGTGTGTTTGTGTGTGTGTGTCTTTCAAATAAATACATTTTCGAGTTTTCATTTCCTAGGTCAACTGGTAAAATATGTATGAATTTTAAGCTCCAGCATTCCTTTCTTTCTTCAACAAAGACTTACTGAGCCTCTAATACAGGTCTCTTCCTGACAGAGGAGAAGAGAAAATTAGAGTTAGAATAGCAATTATACTTGTAGTAAAAACAACAGCAGCAACCACTTACACAGCTTTACCTTATGTGCCAGAGGCTATTCTAAGTATACATATATTAATGCATGTCATTTTTACAAAAATTCTGTGAGGTAAGTTATTCTGTTACAGGTTAAGTATCCCTAATCTGAAAATCCAAAATCCATATTGTTCCAAAATCTGAAACTTTTGGAGTGCTGACATGATGCTACAAGAGTAATCTGATCACATGTGATGAGTCAGAGTTAAAATATTCTATAAAATCACATTCAGGCTATTTGTACAAGATGTATATGAAACAAATGAATTGTGCTTATACTTAGACTTAACCCTCAAGCTATCTCTTATGCACATGAAAATATTTTAACATTTTAAAATAAATCTGCAATCTTAATATTTTCAGTCCCAAGCATTTCCTAATACTCAACCTGCATTCTCATTTTATAGACTGACAGCACCTAAAAACAAAATAATGACATGGTTTGCCTAAGGTCGTGATGCTAGACAATAGAGAATCTGAATTCAACTTCAGACAATCAAGCTCAAGCCTTTACAATGGCACCTTAGATAACCAACTCACAGAGAAAAAAGACAATTCCACCCACATAGTTGCTTAACAGAAACCTGGGACTTATCCTTGATTCTTCTCTTGCTCTCATCTCTCACACCTACTTCATCAGCATATCCAAAAAAAGATTTTGAACCTGTGTGGTTTTCTCTACCTCCCTGCCTCACTAACTTGGGTTACAGCACCATCATAATTTTTCCTTTGTGTCAATTGTTTTTAGCAATATATGCACATGGTATAGATGAGAATACAAAATTAAAGTAAATATTCTCCCTCTACTTCCTTGTCTAGAGGCAAATAGTGTTTTTGAATTCCGTGTACATCCCAGAGATAGCCAATATACACAGAACTGGAAAGTGACTTTTTCTTTTTTCATAAGTATGCCATAACTTACATTGTTTTCTGTTTTTGCTCACTTAAAAATATATCTTGGTTAAATATATATGATAATAAATATACACATTGTGTCATGAGGGTACATCAAAATGTTCACAAAAACTAAAGTGAAGGTTTATTTTGATGTAAAATAAACTTGAAATCTATGCATATAGTCATGAAAAAGTTCAAGAAAATGTCATGAAAAAAAGGTTTGGATTTTCAAACACTGCACCAAATAAAATACACTTATCTTTTAATTCCATTTTCCCACAAAGTTTCTGAAGTAATCCTGTATGTAGATTTTTATATAAATTTAGTAGCCATTGATATTTTCTCATTTTTGGTGAACTGTAAGTTCATATTTTTCGTCTACTGATTTATCTTTTATTTTACACTAAGGAACTTGCACATTTTAATGAACCTAGCTAATAGTACTTTTTCAATTTGTCATTTGTCTTTAATTTTTTCTATCCATGTGGAAATTTTAGGGTGTTTTTGTGGCCAAAGAAATTTTTTTTTCATATTTTGTACCTCAGACTTGGTTAGGCCTTCCCCACTTTGAATTCATATCTAAAATAAAATTCCTAGCCACTTACTCTAGAATCTACCTCTAATTGTGCCACACACTTCAAACCATTTTCTAAATAAAAGCAACAGTAGCTTCCCCCATACATAAAATAAAATCCCTGCTCCTAAACATGGCATACTAGGCACTGCCCATACACTGTCTTTCTCCTTCTCTAACCACTGGGCAACACCAATCTTCCTTCTATTTTTTTGAACAAGTGCTTCCCAATTTTCACAGGACAGCAAAGTAGAAAGACAATATGCTAACAGTTGAAAAATAATTTTCAGAAGTTTAGTGAGCAAAAACTAATTTCAGAGGTACATTCTTAAATGAAGAAATATGAATAGTGGTACTGGAATACAGGAGTGAGAGTTTGTCACTGAAGATGTCATACAGAGATGATGTTCATTCAAGGGCTGGCACATTGGCTCAATTGGGTAATCTTCAACCTCCAAGAGCAGGTATCCTATATGGGTACTGGTCACATCCCAGATGCTCCACTCCCCATCCAGCTCCCTGCTTATGGCCCGGGAAAGCAGTTGAGGATGGCCCAAAGCCTTGGGATCCTGCACCCACATGGGAAACCTGAAAGAAGCTCCTGACCTCTGCCTTCAGATCAGCTCAGCTCCAGCCACTGTGGTCCGTTAGGGTGTGACAACATATGAAAGATCTTTGTCTCTCCTTCTCTCTATAAATCTACCTTTCCAAGGAAAATAAATAAATCTTTAAGAGAGAGAGAGAGAAAAAAAAAGAGGTGATGTTCAAGTTGACAGTTGTGATAGAAACTGGTACTTCAGGCTGAATGAATATTTTGTGTAATGGAAAAAAAAACATAACAGATTCAGGGAATTCAGAATAGTTCAGTAGTTACTGGCATGATGGCTCAATTGGCTAATCCTCCACCTGCAAGCACCAGTGCTCCATATGGGTACTGGTTCATGTCCAAGTTGCTCCACTTCCCTTCCAGCTCACTGCTTTTGTCCTGGGAAAGCAATAGAAGATGGCCCAAAGCCTTGGAAACCAACACCCGTATGGGAGACTGGAGGAGGCTCCTGACTTCAGATTGGCTCAGCTCCAGTCATGGCAGACACTTTGGGAAGTAAACCAGCACAAGGATGATCTTTCTGTCTCTCTCTCTGTAGATCTGACTTTACAACGAAATATAAATAAACCAGTGCTCATATGGAATCCGGGCACATGCAAGGCAACGAGTTTAGCCACTAGGCTACTGCATAGGACCCAAAGAACAATGGCTCTATTATGAACGCCTATATGTTAATATATTAGATAACCCAGAATAAATAAACAAATTTCTAAAATGAAAGAATGCTCATGAAAGAAGAAACAAGCATAGGGCCCGGCGGCGTGGCCTAGCGGCTAAAGTCCTCGCCTTGAACGCGCCGGGATCCCATATGGGCAACAGTTCTAATCCCAGCAGCTCCACTTCCCATCCAGCTCCCTGCCTGTGGTCTGGGAAAGCAGTCGAGGATGGCCCAAAGCTTTGGGACCCTGCACCCGTGTGGGATACACGGAAGAAGTTCCTGGATCCTGGCTTCGGATTGGCATAGCATCGGCCGTTGCATTCACTTGGGGAGTGAATCATTGGATGGAAGATCTTCCTCTCTGTCTCTCCTCCTCTCTTTGTATCTGACTTTCCAATAAATAAATAAATCTTCAAAAAAAAAAAAAAAGAAGAAGAAACAAGCATTGCCATCTCCACTGAGAGATGGCAAAAGTCACTGCAAGAGGTGGTGCGGGGGACACCACAGCAGTCTCCTCTCAGCTCTGATTCAGCCTTGTAGCAGTGTTTTGTAGGTCAATGGCTTCTAAGACTCCAGCTGTATTCCTGGACTGGGTAACATTGGGAATCCAATGGAGAAAAAATTATGAAGGAACCAGTGCAGTGGGCTAAGTTACCACAAAAGGTATCAGTATCCCATATGGACGTTAATTCACGCACTGACTGCTTCACTTCTGAACCAGCTCCCTGGTAATGCACCTGGGAAAGCAGCAGGAGATGGCTAAAATCACTGGGCCTCTGCCACCCACATGGGAGACCCTAGCACCTGGCTTGGCCTGGCCCAGCCCTGACTCTACCTTACCAATAAATAAATAAAGCTTAAAAAAACTCATGAAACTTGGTTGTCCACTCATTACTTATGCGTGCTCCCTCATGCATAGTTTCAAGAGCCAGGCAGATAGCATCTTCCCCAGTAGGTGGAGCTGAAAACGCTGACAGAATTATGACAATGCTAGCCACCACTACCAGTGCAACAGTAGCTCATTTTGGGGCAAATAATTCTGAAAAAGTAAAGAAAGACTCATTATTAACAGACAGCAGTACTACTGATCCTGCAGTCTCAAAAGAATTGGCCAAAGAAGTTGAGAAAATGGAAGTGGTCTCTGGTGGAAGACCTGCTGGGTCTGAGACCCTCATGTTCATGGTGGGAGCAGTCACAGATGAATTTCTACAGTCACAGAGCCGATGGGGTGCAAAGTAGCACATTGGAAACCCCTGGGACTGGGCAGGTTGCAAATATCTGCAACAGCATGCTGTTAGCTATTTGTATAACTGGAACTGCTTAAGCTGTGAATTGGATTATCTTGTGAATCTTGTGAATTCTTTAATTTCTTCTTTTATTTATTTTTATTTTTGGTGATGTTTACACAGCTGATCAAAGTGGGAAGTATCGAGGGTTAGGGAAAATTGGGTGAGACCACTGTTTCCAAATTTCCTTCTTCCTCCTGTATCTGGGGGAAGCGAGGAATAAAGGGAGAAGCCGCACCCAGCCCCCCAGCTGCCTTAGTACCCGGGCATGGGGAACATCCACCTAATGTGAAGCATACTCTGAGGGGTCTTAAGTGATTTTGATAATTCTGAAATGTTGTAAATCTCACTGATCCAACAATGAAGAAATCCCTCCAAGGCCCATTGGCTAACCTAGTTCACCCTAAGAATCTCCATTCAACCAGACACTTGCTGTCAACATTTTTTTTTTAAGATTTATTTTTTTATTGTTTTTTTATTGGAAAGGCGGATATACAGAGAGGAGAGACAGAGAGGAAGATCTTCCGTCCGATGATTCACTCCCCAAGTGAGCGCTATGCCGATCCGAAGCCAGGAGACTCTTCCAGGTCTCCCACGCGGGTGCAGGGTCCCAAAGCTTTGGGCCGTCCTCAACTGCTTTCCTGGGCCACAGGCAGGGAGCTGGAAGGGAAGTGGGGCTGCCGGGATAGAACCGGCGCCCATATGGGATCCCAGGAGTGCAAGGCGAGGACCTTAACCACTTGCGCCACCATGCTGGGCCCTGCTGTCAACATTTGACTGGGGAACTTGTCCAATTTTTTCTGTTCTCCTTCCTCTGCTATGGTACAGGTACCCTCTGCAGGTCCCAATGGACTGCCATATCTTCCACGTGCATCTGGGCATGCCATCCACTACTCTGTCTTTTGCAGTAAGGAGGCCCAGTTCTGACACATGCACTCCATGGTCAGTCCACAAATCTTGCAATTCTCCCCATGGTTAGAGTTCTGAGTCCAGCGGTTCAGTTGGAATGATCCCCAAAGAGAGGTCTGGCTCAGTCTGTCACCAACAATAGCCTAGGTACACACTATGCAATTGTTGGCTCAGTTCTGTCTCCAGCTCCATCTCTTATGCAAACCAAAGGATGCTATGATCAAGATCAACCCAGCCCACTACATACTCAGCCCTCATCTACACCAACAGGAACTGCAGCCTAGTCAGAGCAACCCCCAATAACCCACACCAGGCCCTCATCTCTGGTTCCTGTGCTTGCCTACATGTGCAGCAGACTGGTCCAGTATGTCCCACATCCCATTCAGTTCTCATGCACTTCAACCGACCCCACTATTCAGCCTATACTCATGCTGGTGGGTGCCAACACCTGTCTAGCCAGGCCCTCCCTCAGCCTCTGATGATGTAGGGGCCCAAGTACCTAGGCTATCCAGCTTTGCTGTTCTCTCATGCCATTAGCAGGGAGCTCGATGGGGAGCAGCCAGGACTCAAACTGACACTCATGTGAGATGCCAAAACCACAGGTAAAAGCTTAGCCTGTTATGCTATGCCACCAGCCCTACAAGTTGTTTCTTGTATATAACCCATTTTCTCTCCAGCTGATCCATTCTAATGGTATTGGATACCTGGTTTGCTACTGAAAGTCACCTTGCTTGCAGTGATTTCTAACACCTTACATAAGTAACGGTTTGATTTCTTACATAGCTATAGGACAGTCTGTAAGCTTTTTTTCAGCTCAACGCTAGAATATAAGTCCCACAGAGCAGTAGTCTTTGCTGTGCACCATATTGGATAGTATCCCTTAAAATTTCATGTGCTTCCAGGAACCTCAGAATATGACATTATTTGGATATGGAGTTGTTCCAACTATAACTGGTTAAGATGAGGTCTGAGGTCATGCTGGAATATGACTGGCAATTAATTCAATATAACTGATGTCATTAGAGAAAAGACAGAGGGAGAATGCTAGGTAATGATACAGGTAGTGGTTGAAGTGATCATTCACAAGCCAAGGAATACCAAAGATCGCTGGCAAACAGCCAAAGTAGGAATGGTCAAAGAATGCCCTTCCCCTAGAACCTTGAGAAAGCATGGTCCTGCCAACACCTTGATTTCAGACCTCTAGCTGTCACAACTACAACTAATTTCTATTTTTTGAAGTCATCTAGTGTTTGGTACTCTATTATGGTATCTCTAGACAAACTAACTCACAGCAAAATATTCCAGGTTTCTACAACATTACCTGACATACAATAGGAGTTGATAAGTGAAATATCTGCTGAATGTATAAATAAATACAGATAGATAAGTAGGAAAAGTTCATTTACAACTTTTTAAATTCCATAGGACTGACTTCCCTAAGACATCTGCCACCTGTTGGTAAGCCCCTCTCCTCCCTGCCCCCCAACACACACACACACACACACACACACACACACACACACACACACACACACACACACACACACATTTCTTGAAATTATATTTTCCATTTTCCACACCACTGAGTTCTCCTGGTTCTGTTCCAAATCTTTTGTCTTCTTTTAAATTTTCAATCCTCTTGCTAAACATTCTATATAATTGCATTTGTTCCTGAGTTTCAACTCCCCATATCTAAGTATAGCATAGATGCAACAACGTCACACTCACCAGCTTAAAAACAACAGAGATTCCCTAATCAACTATGTAAAGATTATAAAAATAAAAAATAATTTAAAAACAGAGATGGCTTTTCATTACTTACAGATACAATCCAAACTTGCCCACTTTAACACTGTACTCTGTTCTCTTTCTAACATGCATGAACTCTTTTTTCTAAAGTAACCTATGCTCCAGCCACCCAGCACTCATCAATTTTCCTATGCCCATCATATGTGATCTTTTTGATGCTATCATATTTCCTCCATTCTGGATATTCTTCTACTTGGTGAAATACTAGTATAGGCCAAACACAAATGTTACTATCTTTGGAATTTTTCCTCACCACCATTCAGGCAGAATGACCCCCTTCCAACCTGTTTTTCCATATTATTTTGGTCCTAAATACCAGTGTTTCCTCCTTTTACAACAGGTACCCTGTTCCCTCACTGAACTGAGCTAATCAATGGTAAAGCTCCTATCTTTATCACCTTCACAGATCCATACCTAGCTCGGTGGTTGGCATATGATATGACACCAAAGATTACAGGTTCAATGGACTCATTCAAATCTCTAATTTGTAATCCAATTACTGCTATCAAAGGCATCTCAGCAACACCTCAACAAAACACAATAAAAATACTGCGGCATTATCTTTAGTTAGAGAACTACATAAGCATTGGGGTACTGGACCAAACCAAGTGACCTATTCAACATTAGACTGGATACTTGTATGCTTCAGAAATAGACTCCAACAAAACAGAGAAATCAATCTCTTACCTCCGAAGATAAATAGTCTCCTCATCTTCAGTGTTACAAAACTTGTGAGCATGTTTGGCAGCATCAATCACACGGGACCGGTCCCGGGGCCTCATGGGCAATTTCTCCAACTGACAGTCTGAAAAAGTGGAGACAGATTTAGTCACTAGAGTTACTAGAAAACACCTTGAGCTAATCAGAAGTTTTTAGTTGGGCCCTTATGCGCTCTAATTTCCTACTGTAATTACTATGCTTATTGAAGCTTGATATTGAGTTTTCCAAGTAAAAACAAATTGCTTTCAGGAGATACTGGTTTTGGTCCCAGCTCTGGTACTACCCCAATGATCTCTAGCAAATCACTTCCTCCTTGAGGGATGTTTTCCTCATTTGGAAGATGAGCAGATCATATTATCTAAAAAAGTCCTCCCAGTACTGCAGTTGATTTTCTCTGATTACAGCAAATCTTGTTTGTGTTATAACGCACTACAGAGTTAGGGGGGAAAAACAGCAGCAGCAGCAGCAAGAAAAAAAAGGTGCCAGCACAATAGCTCAACTGGCTAATATTCCACCTGCAAACACCAGGATCCCATATAAAACTTGCTTATGTTAGCTTTTCCACTTTCCATCCATACTGCTTGTGGCCTGAGAAAGCAGTGGAGGATGGCCCAAAGCCTTGAGACACTGCACCAGTGTGGAAGACCCAGAAGAAACTCCTGGCTTCTGGCTCCAGTCGGCTGAGCTCCAGCCCTTGCAGCCATTTGGGGAGTGAATCAGTGGATAGAAGATCTGTCTCTTCTCTCTCTGTAAAATCTGCCTTTCTAATAAAAATAAAAATTTTTAAAAGAAAAGAAACTTATCCTTAATTTGTTTCTAAGACTCTACACTCCTGATTCACATACTCAATACCTTTGTGTTATCTTTTTGGCTCTTTTTTCTTTCAGATTTCTAAGTATTTCAAGATCCTAATACTTACCCCCACTAATCTCTTCTCACTCTGTATGCACTACCAAGATGATCCCCACTTTTCCCAGGCTTTAAATACCATCCATGTACTAGTATTTCCATATTGGAGAAGGTGCTTCAACAGTCACCTTCAGCCAACACCTCCCCTCAAATTTCAACGGCCTATTCAGCATCTCCGCTTGGATGTCTTTAATAGGCCTCTCTAATACATGATGTTCAAAATTGAATTCCTGAACTTCTGCTCCCAGCTTGCAATTGTGCTTCTTTATTATCTTTCCTGTGGCAGCCATTATACTGCTATTCATCTAGTATCTCATTTCAGAAGGTCAACAAGCTCATGTGTAAGCTGCCTGGTGTCCTTTAGCTGCTCTCTCTACCTCATCCACGAATCCTGAGTCACTCTGAACACTTGACCTTCTCTATGGAGCTTGAGATATTTAATTTGCAATAATATCAATTTTCCATCTACTTAAAAACTGCTTTCTGTATTTCTTTTTTTCCAGAAATAATATTTCTATAATTTATTCATTTGAAAGGCAGAGTGACAGAGGAGAGACAGAGATCTTTCTTTTGTTGGTTAATTTCCCCAGCAGCTGCAACAGTTAAAGCTGAGCCAGGCCTAATCAAGGAGCTAGGATCACCATTTGGGTTTCCCACAAGATGGAAGGGATCCAAGCGCTTGGGCCCCTCTACTTCATTCCCAGGCAAGTACATTAGCAGAGAACTAGAATGGAAGCAGAGCAGCCAGGATATGACAAACGGGATGTGTTATTTGCAAACTACACATGTGGTTTCTTCCACCTACCCACTTTCTCCTTAGCACTTATCTGCCTTTCCTAGTATCTTCCTTGTAGGCATTCAATTATGCTTGGGTTTTTTTTTTCTTTTTTAAAGATGTACTTATTTATTTTTCTTTAGAGGCTGACATGGTAACTCAAAAGCTAATACTTCACCCTTTAGCATGGGAATCCCAATGGGTGACAGTTTGACTCTTGGCTTCTATGTTCTATCTAGCTCCCTGCTTACAGCCTGGAAAAGCAGCAGAAAATGGGCAAGGCCTCAGGCAGCCCTCGCCTTTGTGGCTGTTTTGGGAATAGACCATGAATGGAGCTCTTTCTCTCTTTATCTCTCCTTCTCTCTGTAGATATGCCTTAAAATAAAAATAAATTTTTAAAACATGCATTTATCTTTAATCGAAAGGCAGAGGCACATACAGAGATAGCATTAATCTGTTGGTTTAGTTTCCAAATGCTCTGTATAGCTGAGGTCAGGCCAGATTGAAGTTGGAAGCTAGGGTATTCCATTCAGGTCTTTCACATGGGTGACAGAGATCCAACTACTTGAGCAATCCCTGCTGTCTCCCAAGGGGCACATTAGCAGGAAGGTGGAAACAAAAGCCAAGCTACGGACTTGGCGCAGTAGCCTAGCAGCTAAAGTCCTCGCCTGGGAAAGCAGTCAAGGATGGCCCAAGGTCTTGGGACCCTGGCTCCTATCTTTGGATCAGCTCAGTTCCAGCCATTGTGGCCACTTGGGGAGTAAATCAGCAGGATCTTCCCCTCTGTCTCTCTTTCTCTCTGTATACCTGACTTTCCAGTAAAAATAAAATAAATAAATCTTTAAAAAAAAAAAAAAAGCCAAGCTTAGACTTGAACCCAGGCACCAAACACCTTCCCAAAAGTAGTCATCCCTATCAAATGCCAGTGAGAAGGGATATAAAATGAATATGAGTAATTGACCACTGGAACCATCATCATAGAGCTCAGGTAGAAAACTTGACAGGGCCCAGCACAGTAGCCTTGTTGTGGGGTGTGAGTGAGATCACTCTAAGGTTTATTAAGAAGTCATTATTAATCAAGCTTGGTAATAACAGGGCCCACCAGAAATAGCAAATCACAAATCCATATGGCAATCCAGTCACTCAAAACCCCAAGAGGAACAAATGGTCATCACCTTGAAGCCCATCCATTAAGCTGAAGACCTATGTCCCAGCTTCCCCAGCAATATGAGACATGCAACAAATAACTTGGACACACTTATAAAGCTGCAGACATTCACCTTTCCCAGGCTTTTCTATTCATATTCCACTACTGCTGGGCCTCACCTAGCATCTTAGCATTGCTATCGTCATTGTCCCACCCAAGCAGTAAACAGAGGGTGAGAAATACAGACACACAGGGGCCATGCTCAGGGGATACCTGTCCTCAGCGTCTGTCTGTGGGAAGCCAGAGAGCAAGCAGGTACTGGGAAGGCCAAGAGTCGAGAGTGCCAGAGCAATGGAGGCACATGACCAAGACAGTGAGCCCCTCTTTATCATGAGCCTTATAGGGGCTTGTGAGGGTGTGGTTACACAATACTATACCGCCCCTCTGAGGTTCCAGGTGGTGATAGGTGAGCATCACAGGTGGGCAGGAGGGAACTCCTAGGTGGTGGTGATGGGGGTTGTGGCTTCCAAGCTCATGACCCTGAAGTACCTGCCTTCCCCCCTCAGAGACTTCCTAACCCTTAAACTTAAGGGATGCAGAGGGACTCAGAATCATATCTTCTGTAACTGCTTCCTGCTGCTTAGGGGCATAGGCCCTGCCTTTCTGGGGTTCAGAAGTCTCTTCCTATCTCATCTAATTAGTGTATCCATCTCATGAGCTGGATAATTTTTAGTCACTGCCAATGGCTGTGTCCCCACATGGTCCACATTCTCCCAAACAGTTGCTGGATTCTGAAACAGACAATTTCAATCAGTATAAGCATTTTAACATTCCCTGACATCTAAATTATCATTAAACACTTACATACATATACCCATATACTTCACCATCTAAGCTCATGGGGATTTGGGGTCCCATGACCAGTTTTGAAATTGTACCCTTAGAAGTCTATCTGGGGGAGTGAGTCATCGGACGGAAGATCTTCCTCTCTGTCTCTCCTCTCTGTATATCCGCCTTTCCAATAAAAAAAATAATAAAAATAAATCTTTAAAAAAAAAAAAAGAAGTCTATCTGAATACATGCAGAACTATACAGTTTGAACAGACTTGTAGGACCTGAGAAAACAAACAAAAGTAGATATGGCTCTCCATGAGCCTGATCATGCATCTATAAATTAAATTTGAATTAATTACACCAACTGTAATTCCCTTTAAATTACACTTTAAATTTCCTTTTTGTACCCAAACTTGGGACCACTGCTTTACCCAGTCTACGAGGGGATCCTCCTTTCAGATTAACCACTACCCAATGTCTCTTTTATATTTAAAAAGCAACCATGCCTATGGTGGACACCACCATAACAAAATGCCAGTACACTTGAAAACATATGTATATATATATGACTGGGGCTTTATCACAACAAATTTGGACTATCACACCATCTATAGATACAGACATCCAGGACATCACACCTCATACCAGGAAGCTGAGTTTCTGAATGGTAAAATCAATTGATGCAATTCTAAGTGAATCCCATGGCTCCTGCAGCCTCAATTTTCAGCACACTTACCTTGCAGTGCCCAAGGACTACAACCTTAGGAGACCTTGTCACTGCTGTTATCCTAGTAACTCACAGGGGACATCAGAAGATGAAGACTAGATGCCAGAGAGGCATCTTTCAGGGTCTTCTGAGCACCTCAAGTCATTGGGGGCCATCTTCACCCCCAAATCAGAGAATCTGAGGAGGCGAAACCCCATTCCTAGAACTCATCCTGAGTGACAGCCAGACTAAGACTTAAAATCAATGAAACAAAAACTATAATACTGCTGACCAGAAATATAGTTCTGTGGATTTTTGGTTTTTTTCTTCTTGAAGTTCTGGAATTTTTTTTATCTAGCTCACCAACCTTCAAGGTGCCAGAAGCCTGTATTCAGGAATACTTCTCTTCATAAATCTGAATGTAAACATTTCAGGAAACACAAAGCTGGATAACAAGAGACTTTAAAAGGCTTAAACTCATTAACTGGCAAGGAAAACCATTTGTACTCAGTTCACAATGCATTCTGGAAGCACCTAAATGTTTTTTAAAAACTTTGTCCCTTTTCAACAAAATAGCAATCATGACTGATAAAAAAAAAAAAGGACCATTAAATTTTCCAATCTTTAAAAACATTTGTATCACAGAATAATATTGCATAACTTCATGCCTTGGCAATATTTTGCATACACTCCAAACAGCCAAATTAAGTCATCACCTTTATAGACTGTTTTCTGACTTTTATCCTTCTCACTTTGAGAACTCCAGGGGCCTATCTGGAAATCTCAAAGTCACAGGCACCAAACAGTTCAAATATGCCAAGATATCTTAAAAACATCCAGTCAAAATAAGATTCCCAATCATAACAAAATAATATCTACACATTTTAGTTTTTTTTTCTAACAGATTTGCCATTTTCAGATATTTACTACCATACTTACATATTAGCATTTCAAAAAACCGTTTTTACAGATTTCAAAATTAGACTTCAACCAATTCAGATATTAGCATATCAGTAAAACTCATTCCTCAAATCTTCTGGACTTCCCCAACCTTCCATTACAGGGTAAGGTAGCCATTCTCCTGCAGAAAAGGCATTTTAAACCAAGTTCCCAAATTTTGATTCGGAACCCCTTTATCACTTTATCAACCATATTCCATTCGCCAATATCCTTGATTTAAAATTTGAAACAATCCTTCTAAATCAAAGAACATGCCAAATTTAACATAGTACTAGAAATACTCAGTCTTTTACCTTTGCCCAATCTATACTTATTAGCCGTACCAAGATGACCTAAGAAACATACATATCAGAAAAGCACTTCTACCTTTTTGAATAATTTTTCTATTACAGAAAACTCTAAAACCTAGTTCACAGTAAGTAAAAAGTTTAACACTTCCCAATCAGCAGCAGACAGTACTGAATGCTAACAATTTTGAGCTTTTCTTAAAGCAACTGTAGCTGGAAAAGAGGCATAAAACTAATATTACAAGGCCATTCCTCCTTCAATTTCAAGGAGCTCTGAGGCTAAGCACTAAGCACGATTACTGAAAAACAAAACCTTTTCTTTTGCAAAATACACATACACTTAACAAAAGATAGGACAGACACATGACCACACAACTCAGAAACCAGACTGACGTTGGGAACCCAAAATTTGGGGACCCAAACCTGACATCTCGTATGGACCTGACACAAGAAGTTATGCTGCGTCCAGCCTTCTGAAGAGTCCCGGATGAGTACCCACAGAAACAGAATCTGATCAGCTGGTGACAAACCCACTTATAGGTAAATTCAGTGAATGGTTATGCAGAATCAGGTGATTCTTCCTAAGGATCAGTGCAAATCCCGTGAGCCAGGAGGCCAAGATTGGGTGCTGGGGCCGTGTTAATCATTACAGTGGCTTCCCCAGACTACCAAGCCAGGTTCCTGAGCACAGGATGGCCACTGCCCTCTGATCAGGGATCTCTATCTCGCTGGGTCCTCCAAAATGTTGCAGAGTGCACAGTGGGATAACACCAGACATGTCTAAGCTTTATTAAGGAATCTTTATTAACCAAACTTGGTAATAACAGGGCCCACCAGAAATAGCAAATCACAAATCCATATGGCAATCCAGTCACTCAAAACCCCAAGAGGAACAAATGGTCATTACCTTGAAGCCCATCCGTTAAGCTGAAGACCTATGTCCCAGCTTCCCCACCAATATGTTATCCTAAGAGACATGCAACAAATAACTTAGACACACTTATAGAGCTGCAGACATTCACCTGTCCCTGGCTTCACTGCCCACATACCACTATCATGAGTGTTTATAAGGGCTTGTGAGGGGAGTGGTTACACAACAATACAATACCACCCCTCTGAGGTTCCAGGTGGCAGGAGGGAACACCCAGATGGTGGTGGGGGAGTGGCTTCCAAGCTCATGATCCTGAACTAGCTGCCTATCTCACTACAATCTAGCTACTAAAGCCTCGCCTTGCACACCCAGGGATCCCACATGGGTGCTAGTTTGTATCCTGGCAGCTCCACTTCCCATGCAGCTCCCTGTTTGTGGCCTGGGAAAGCAGCTGAGGACAGACAGCCCAAAGCCTTGCGAACCAGCACCCACGTGGGAGACCTGGAGGCTCCTGGCTCCAGGCTTCAGATTGGCTCAGCTCTGGGCATTGCAGTCACTTTGGGAAGTAAACCAGGAGAGGGAAGACCTATCTCTCTTTATCTCTCCTTCTCTCTGTAAATCTGACTTTACAATGAAATATAAATAAATCTTAAAAAAAAAAAAAGAAAGAAACTTTGACAAATAGTAGGGTACATCAAAAACTTTGTGGAAAAGGAAATTAAAAGATAAGTTTATTTTGGTGCAAAACACTTTTGAAATCCATGCAGCTTTTCATGATTTGCATATACCATGAAACGTTTTTAAGATTTATTTATTTTTATTGGAAAGGCAAATATACAGAGAGGAGGAGAGACAGAGAGAAAGATCATCCATCCAATGGTTCACTCCCCAAGCAGCCACAACGCCTTGGAGCTGAGCCAATCTGAAGCTAGGAAAAAGGAGTTGATCCGAATACAGGAGGCAGGAGCTTCTTGTGGGTCTCCCAAGTAGGTACAGGGTCCCAAGGCTTTGGGCCATCCTCTACTGCTTTCCCAGGCCACAAGCAGGGAGCTGGATGGGAAGTGGGGTAGCTGGGAAACTAACCAGTGCTCATAGCTGCCAAGGTCCTCTCTTTGCATGCACCAAGATCCCAAATGGGCGCTGGTTTTAATCCTGGTGGCCCCACTTCCCATCCAACTCCCTGTTTGTTGCCTGGCAAGCAGTTGAGGACGGCCCAAAGCCTTGGAACTCTGTACCCTCAGGGGAGACCCAGAGAAGTTCCTGGCTCCTGGCTTCAGATCGGTGTACTTCCAGCAATTGAGGCCACTTGGGGAGTGAACCATCGGACAGAAAATCTTCCTCTCCGTCTCTCCTCCTCTCTGTATATCTGACTTTCCAATAAAAATAAATGTTAAAAGAAAAAAAAAACACGGAGGATTAATTGAATCATCATGCAAGGTCCTTAGCTAACCATTAAATTTCATTTTCCACCAAGTTTGAAGTGCCCTTATGATGAGGTGGGAAGAAAAGCCTTAGAAAAGGAAGACAGAACGGAGACACGGCCAATTTACTCAGCTGGAGAAATTCTGCTATAAAAGAAACAAAGAAATGAGACTATTTCTGGAGAAGAAAGCTGTATCCACAGAGGAAATTTTTTTCTCATTTACTTCTAAAGTGGGAGCGACTGCCAGCAGCATCTTTTCATGTAAAAGGCAGGAGTGGGAAGATGCGGCTTTACCCGCCGCGCCCCGCCCCCCCTCCCGCCCCCGCCCCCGCCCCCGCCCCCCGTCCCCCGTCCCGAAGGATTTCGGTTGTAGGGGAATTCCGGCTAAACAAAAAGCGCGAAAACTGCCCGGGACTGAGTGGGCAAAGAGTTGAAAAGATTATGCCTGAGGGAAAGTCGATCCCTCCTCAATGACAGCCGGCTCCCAAATCGTGTGAAGAGCAAGTAACCCCAAGTCTCTCCTGAGGCACCCCACCCCCCCAGTTCCCTTCGACTCACCCAGCACCAGCACCATCTGGCCGCACAAGCAGTAGTAGACGTGAAGGGGCTTCTCGCCGTCGTCATACTCCTCCCGGTCGCGGGTGTCAGAACATACGACCGAACGCGAAACTACTTTAGGCATGGCTTAGTAGCTTGAAAACCAAACGCCGAGGAATACAGTCGCGCGTTAGTGACGTCAATAGTACGCGCAGCGCCTTTTCTCTCCAACTCTTCTGGTAGTTCTAAGAGCTTCCGGCCAGCCTTATCAAGCTGAGGCTTCCCGGCCCACCCTGACCCTCCCACAACTTTCTTTTTCGCCAAGTTGGATGGGACTGATTTATTTGTGACACTTGTATATGATTTCAGTTTTTTATATTTTTATAATGTATGCATGTCAAAGTATTCACAGGTTTCTATATGTACATAGACATATAATAAAGGGCTATATGTATTATATACCCATAATACAAATCTTCGGTTTGCCTCTAGATATGATTTTTAAGTTAATCGCAATACTCAGGATGAGTATTCAACGAAGTAGAAGTGTTTTAAAAATTGAGATATAGGGCCCTGCGCGGTGGCCAAGCATAGTGGTTAAAGTCCTCACCTTGAACACACCCGGATCACATATGGGCGCTGGTTCTAATCCTGGCAGTCCCAATTCCCATCCAACTCCCTGCTTGTGGCATGGGAAAGCAGTCGAGGATGACCCAAAGCCCTGGGACCCTGCACCTGTGTGGGGACCTAGAAGAAGTTCCTGGCTCCTGGCTTTGGGTCAGTTCAGCACCAGCCCTTGAGCTCACTTGGAGAGTGAATCAATGGATGGAAGATCTTCCTCTCTGTCTCTCCTCTTCTCTGTGTATCTGACTTTGCAATAAAAATAAATACATCTTTAAAAAATTAAGATATAATTCACATAACTTAAAATTCATCTTTAAAGTGTACAATTGATTATTTTCAATATTAAATTGCAACCAGCACAATTTTATCATCTCAAAAAGAAATTCCATACCCATTATTAGTCACTCCCCTCTCTCTTTGTCATCCCCCTGCCAGCCAATCACCAACCTATTTTCTCTTTCTCTGGGTTTGCTTATTCTGAACTTTTTGTGTAAATCAATTGTACAGTATGTGATCATTAGTCTTTCACTAACAATGTTTTCAACGCTCTCCTAAATTATAGTGTTTCATTCCTATTTATAATTGATCAATATTTCTTTTTTTGAGTTTTCCACATTCTTTTTTTTTTTTTTACTATTTATTTTTATTGGAAAGTGAGATATACAGAGAAGAGGAGAATCAGAGAGAAACATCCTCTATCTGCTGGTTCACTCTCCAAGTGACAGCAATGGCTGAAACTACACCGATCTGAAGCCAGGAACCAGGACCTTCTTCCCAGTCTCCCATGTGGGTGCAGGGTCCCAAGGCTTTGGGATTTCCTCTACTGCTTTCCCAGGCCACAAGCAGGGAGTTGGATGGAAAGCAGGGCTATCACGATTAAAACCAGTGCCCATTTGGGATCTGGGCACATTCATAGCAAAAACTTTAACTGCTATGCTATCGTACCGGGCTCAGAATATTATTCTTTCATGGAGAAAGGTAATGCAGAATATTTCCAAAAACTTCATGCAACTGGCCCAGCACAGTAGCCTAGTGGTTAAAGTCCTCGCCTTGCACATACATGCTGGCATCCCACATGGGTGCTGTTTTTTGTTGTTGTTGTTGCTTGCTTGCTTGTTTTTTACATAATTGATTAGGGCACAAAGGGTCAAGGGCTATAGGAAAGTAGATAAGACCATTGTTTCCACATTATTGCTTTTTTTTTTCTCTATCTGGGGTAAAGGAGGAGATAAAGGGAGAAGCCCCACCCAGTCTCCCACCCATCCCAGGTCCCTCGTGTGGCACATGCTCTGAGGGTCCTGCTCAAGTGGTTTTGATAGTTCAACAGTTATGACTCGCTGCCAATTTCGCTGACCCAAGCAAGATGAAATTGCTGGAAAATCCACTGGCTGACATGGTCCACCTTAGAGTCTCCGTTTGCCCAGATTTTCACTGCCAACACATGGCTGGGATAGTTGATTGATTTGTTCTGTCCTCCGTCCTCTGCTGTGGTACCAGGTGTCCTCTGCAGGTTTAGATGGACTGCCATATCCTCCATGTGCACCTGGATATGCTGTCCACTGCTCTGTCTGAGCCTCTGAGGAGGCTCAGCTCTGACACATGCACTCCACGGTCAGACCATGGAACCTGCAATTCTCTTCATGATTGGGGTTCTGAGTCCAGCAGTTCAATGGTGGGGATTCCCCAAAGGAACTTTTTCTGAAGTGACCCAGACCAGATTCTTGTGTGTGCTTGGCAGTACAGGGTGTGGCACAGTCTGTGGCCACCACCAATCAGCTGGTGGTTGCAGTTGCTGGGTCAGTTCTGTTTCCAGCTCTGTGTTGCACACAAACCAATGGGTATTGATTCTGCCCACCACACACTCTGTCCTTACATAAACCAGTGAGAGCTGCAGCTTAGTCGGAGCTAACCGCAATAACCCCTACCAGGCCCACCTCCTGCCCTGGTTCCTGTGCTTGCCTGTATGTACTGCAGACCTGTCTGGTCTGTCCCATATCCCATTCAGTTCTCATACATGTCAATGGGCATTGAAGCCTAGTTCCACCCAACTGGGCCCACTATCCAGCCCACGTACATGCTGATGGGTGCTGTTTTGTCCAGCCAGATCTGCCCCAGTCCTGGTTTTCATGCTCTCCTGTGGGAGCGATAACACAAGAGGGATGTGCCCACTATCTCCCTCCTGGGCCAACTCCCAGATCTTGCACTTTCCTGGTGGTTCTGCAGTTTAACTTGACAGAATTAGCTCCCCCCGTCCATGCCAGCATCTGCTATCTGATGTTGTGGTTAAGTCCAACCAACCCTCACCCATTCTGATGTATGCTTGCACCAGTAGGGACAGTCAGCCCAGCATGGCTCTTCCCTGATCTAGCTCACACAGGTGTTATAGCCCTGCCCAGTCTGTTCTGCTCCGCCATCCCAACTCACACTCTCCAATGGGAGTGGTGTTCCAACAAGGGGGTCCTCCACATTCCCCCTACATTTGCTGGTTGGGTGCTGCAGCCCAATCTGGCATGGCCCACCTTGCCTTGGCATTTGCCAGTGGGTGCTGTAGCCTGTCCCAGCCCAACCCACGCCCAATTTCAGCTGGTGAGGGTTACAGTCTAGCCCAGCTCAGCATGCACCCAATCCCAGCTATAATATGCACTGGTATTTGTTGCGACCATGCCTGGCCAGACCCTCATTGTTCTGGTGCTCAGATTCGCGAGCAGGTGATGTGAACTGGTTCAGCCTGGTCTACCCCCGACCTGTGCCAAATGTATGCTGGTGGGTACCTTTCCCTGGCCCGGACTGGGCTGCTCCTTATTGTGGTTCTTGCACTCACCTGCAGGGACTGTGTCCTGACAGAGGAGTTACCCAAGCTTCTCCATCAGAACTGTTCCCAATGCCAGATCTTGCGCATACAGGTGAGTCTATGGGCCAGCCCTACTTAAGTCCACCTCCTGTCCTAGCAGGAACAGTGGCCTTTCCTGACTGGCCTTCAACCCATTCTGGTTCTAACTTTTGGATGTTTCAGCCCAGTCAAGGCTCATCCATACCCAGACACAGCTCACACATGGCTCAGTAGGGGTAGAGACCTAGCCTAATTTGTCCTATATCTACCCTTGTCCTCCAGAGTAACAGATGATGCTGGAGTCTAGCCTGGCTTGGTGCGTCCAGTCCCAGTCCACACTTGTGCCAAGGGAGACTGCAGCCATATCCAGACCAGAATGCAGCCCCCACTCCAGCCCCCGCACTCACTAGTGGGAACCACAACCCAGCCAGGGTGTCCTCTTAACTCCCCAACCAGGCCTGTTCCCAGCCATAGATCGCGTGCATGCCAGTAGTTCTGAATCGGCTTGGCATAGCCCCTCACCTGTCTTGGCCTTTGCCTTAAACGCTGTGGCCTAGTGTCCCTGGCTCATGTAGACCAGTAGGTGTTACAGCCTAGCTCGGCATGACCTGTGCTCCATCCTGATTTCTATTTTTGCTTGTGAGCTAAGGTTTGCTTGGCCCTGCCTGGTTCACCCCCTTCCATAACCAATCCCCATATTAGCCAGCCATTGGAGCTACTTTGTCCAGCTTGTCCGACCCCCAGGCCTGGACTATGTGATCACCAGGGAGAGCTATGACCCAGTAGGGGAGTTTCCCAAGTTTCCCCCACTTGACCCACTCCCAGACCCAGTTCTTATACATGCCAGTGGGTGTTAGGCCAGTGCCAAGCATAGTCTGGCCTTTCATTGGCATTGTATGAGCTGGTGAACATTGCAGCCCAGCCCACCCCGCACCCTATTTAGGTTGCACATTTGGGTGCTGCTTCCTTGATTAGCCCAGACTTTCGTTGGTTCCTTTACCTGTGAGTGATGATAGGCTTCATGGTCACACCTAGCTCAGCCCATCACCACCCCAACTCTTGAGCTAACCAGTGGGAATAGTATTTCCACAGGGTTTGGCCCACACATCCCCCATGGAATCTATCCCCGGAAATGGTTCTCTGGTGTGCTGGTTAATGTCATGACCCTACCTGATGTGACCCGTCCCCTGATCCAACAGTCTGTCAAGTACTAGGATCTGGGTCTGCTAGACAAGCCCCCAGCCTAAGCTTTTGCATGGACTGGTGTGTGGTGGTCAGCATTGTTTGATGATAACAAGTTCTGCACATGACTCAAAGGAGGCTAGTATATCACTCTGACCCATAAAGATTGTCTGGTCTCTCTCCTCCAAACTACCAGGTCTCAGTACCCTTGCTTACCTTCAAGGAATAGTTACTCTGTCGCTGGGAGTCCTTCAGTATTGATTCATAACCCACAAGTACTGTGGGTTCAACATGGACGTACCTAGGCAGCAATTCATACCCCCAAATCCCCAGAGCTCACCGCCGGGCACCAAATGGCACACTGGCCGCCCAGGCTCAGCTCACCTCAGCTTACCTTGCCAGCGCCCCAAGCATAGAGTCCAACCTGGCCCAGGACCTCCCAGCAGCCAACAGGCTGCTGGAAGTTCTCCCACCCAGACCCCAAGTTCGCTCCCTCCTGGTCCCACCCACCGCACGATGTTGGTGGTGGGTGGAACCCAGGCCCTTCC